AATGAAACACAAAGAAAAGCCGTTGGATAAAAATAGTTTTAACTTCACACGCCCTCATTTGACATGGGATTATATTGCGTTCCCCCTATCCTTCCGTAGATCTACCTGTCCGTCCACAATTCTTGTAAACAAGATGAGAGAGAGAAATGGGTTTAACGTCCACTCGATACAAACTAGGTCATTCCGGGACTAACACATGGTTCAGTTATATTCAATAATTCGCTTGCGCGCAGTGGTCTTTAGCAGTGGAATGACCCAGAGAAAACCAACCAGATTGGAAGGCGATCCTACTCCTAGTCACGTACAACCGGGGAATCAAAACTACGCCAGTTGACTCAATGACAGATCGTGTGATACAGCGCGCACGTGCTAACCATTCAGCCATCCATCCCTCCTCGCAAAGATAAGACTTTGAAAGTTAAAGATACATTATGGGAGATTCGATCACGAGTTGGCAGTTCTCACTATAATAGTTAAAATCTAGATAATGTAAAGGCAATTTGCTGAAAATTTCATTCAAATTGATCTAATATGAACCGAAAACAAAACGATTGAATTTCCGCCTAGCCTTGATCATCATTCTTAAAGTCAGTACGATAAACAGCATAGTCTCGATTATCCATTTAATCCTTAAATCGTGAAGGAAAGTTATGCAGTCAATCCGCTAACAATCCACTAAATATCACAGGCTAGCGATGCCACCTAGAGTTGATTATGGTCTGGATAGGTTAATTACTGTCTAATTAATAATTTAGATAACATTTCAGGCCTACAGAAAGACCTGCAATAGACAGATTTAGCTCTTGCATAATGTATGTTTAATTGTTCATACTAGTTGTGGTTTCCCCTTGTCAGTGGTGCGGGTCGGATGGCCTGACAAGGACAGCTGTCTAGTCGTTCGGGTGGGAAGAACAACCGAGGTCCAGTGTACACATTCGCGTGCACGTTAAAGATCTCTTTGCAGCTCGAATTCGATATAAGAGTAGGCTATAATGCCACTGCCCGAGCAAAATGTTTCTCATAGCACACTGTATGGCGTATGCCCGTCTTCATTAGCCCAGTCGGGACAGAACAGTAGGACGCTAAACCCCATTTCATTTGTTTAGCTAGTCTCCGGGTGGAAACCTATTAAATTGCATAGTTGACTAGGCCGTGTACAACCAAAGCCTACAAACGGTATACGGGTCATAGTTCTGTTTTAAATCTTTGTGTGATCCTTACGAAATTGAGACCCGCCTCGCAATTGTATTCGTAGTTTGTTCCCCTCGGATAGGCCATCAGTCAACGCCGCTTTTAATCCATTTTCAAAAGTTCGCAGTTTGCAATAATATAAATATGTTCCCAATTCCACATTTAGCTCACCACATTAGCACGTTGAATATTAACTGCACTTGTCTATCATTAGAACAATTTGTCCTGGACCAAGACGTGTCTGAGTTTGGCACACATTTTGCAGAGTTAACGATGCGGGCTGATATTTTGAGAGATTTGTTTTTTTTTAAGCTTTAGCTCATTTTATTATATCTTTCTACCATAAATAATGCCCGAATTTAAGTATACCAAAAGTTAAAGAAGAAATGTGACCAGTTTTTGAGTCATTCAGATATGACTGCCAAAATTGTCATCAGCACGCATGTTTTTTAGGCTAAAGTCTAACCAGAAAACTTAAGTGTCAATACATAATAAAATTTATATTCCATTAATCAATTCCATTCCGCCATTGGTTTGTCTGAAACTTGTCATTTGTGTTCATGGGCATCAGGGTCGAGATGGCAACGTTATATGTTTTATTCGTCTAATTTACTATAAAACACCATTCGGTTCGCGTCACGGGTTAACGGCATATTAATACTTTATTCACTGAGATGGTTCCTTTACTTGTGGTTTATTTTTCGAATTGCTTTTTGTATTTATTTACAGAGGTTAAAAGTTTAAATGGAAATATTTAAGCACCTTCTTGTTAAACCGTTGAAAGATTTAAATGTGTATTAGGGTGTTAAAGGTTAAAAGTTATTCCCTACAAGGTGGTCCCCTACGGTTCTTACCATACAATTCAGCTGTGAAATAACACAGTTTCTTTCATTATGTGTACAACAATGAAACTAGTTCAATTGCAATTTGTCTAAACCACGGTGTTGTGATGTATGCATCTAAATGTTTCGACGACCCACCAATCAGTAGTGGCGTGATGATTAAATTTATCGGACATGGAATGTGAAAATGCTTTGGAACTTTCAACTATAACACCTTGCACTAATTACTCAATATAAGCCAAAAGGATCCACCTTGTTCATTTATAGTCCGGCCCTGTCTTCAGTATTAAAATATTATAATGAACACAAAGTATATTTAGTAATCCGTATAGTAGTACTACAGTTACAGCTACCTACGCTCTCTCAGTGACCCTATACAGTTGTCAGTTTGATCATAAATGCGCTCCTCAATGTGCTCTCAGTGTTCCGAGGGTTCACGGTGGGTTAGACGCTGGCTCGCTAGGTCGGGTATTCGATCCCTGCATTGGTGGAGAAATTTTATCCAGATTTTCCTGCGTGGTTCCCCCTTGACAGTTGGAATTCGGTATAGGAGTAGGCCGTAGTGCCGCCGCCCGGCAACATTTCCCTCATACCACACTGTATGGCGTATGCCCGTCTTCATTGGCCCAGTTCGGAGCAGAACAGTAGAGCGTGAAACCCCATTTCATTTCATTTCTCAGTGCTCCGAAGTCGTTGCTGTTGCGCTCTCAATACGTTTATTGAACAGGAGCTATCTGTATAACAATAGAATCTCCTTCAACCACAGCAGCAGTCTACTTAAAACCCTGCCACACTCATCCGCGAACACGCTGGCCCTCCTACTGCGATACCGTCGACATGAACTACCTCTACAACCAAACCCCGGCAACGCATCCCATGTAGCAGCACGTGAACTATATGATAGCGTTGTCAAGAAACGACTATACGCTCTTCAACTGCCTTGAGAAGTTTTTTTTTCAGGTTTCCAAGACCAGGGACAAAAAATACGGACTCAACAGGACCACAGAAAGATTAAAAAACAAAACACCCTAAGCTGTAGAGTGTTTTTAGGAATTCAGATGAGATAGCCTGGGGCAGCTATGAAATTCAACAGGTGCCTCTTGGGACTAGCTAAACAACCACAGCTAGTTTGAAAAATTAGTTTTCAAAAAGTTTTATGTGTCAAATGTTTACAAGAATTGTGGACGGGCGGAAGGATCTACGGAAGGGTAGGGGTGATTACAATATAGTCACATATTAAATGAGGGCGCATGAAGATTCTCCATTTCTGCTGTTGACACGTCATTCCACAAAAAGCCAAGTTAAAGATAATTTTATCTAACGTCTGTCTTTGTGTCTCATTATTCATATGATTCAATGCAAACCTTTGGCTTGTCAACAGCCATGTATGGGAGCTAATCTTGTCCCATTTATGGCTAACGACCATTTAAATAGATATGAATTTTGCTTTCAAGGACATAATATCAAAGCTAAACTGAGATCTGTACAGCTACAAAAGGACAACTTCCATTTATGGTAATTTTAACATGACACTTCACCAACACATGACTAATCTTTATATATACATTTCAATAAAAACGCACCCCTTAAAACATGTAACACGTGATTACAGTATGGTTCTTTTACACAAGAACACGACAAGAAAATAAAATATTTATGGAATGCAAGGTCAAACGATCCACAAAACAGCTAAAGAATTTCTAGAGAATTCCCAATAATTTAATCACCTATCCAGTTTATCGTGTACAATTTGATGAGTTGGCAGGGTTAATACAATTTTGATCTGTTTTAAATAATTATGTCATTTGTAGTTTCTTTTAGCTCTTTAACTATGGGTTGCTCTTGTTGTTGTTGTCTAGCGAAAATCGGGTTTCACATTTCACTTGGCTGACTACGTGCGTTTGATTTTTCCCCGGAAAATATATTTCATCTAGCACTAGAAACAAATCTTGTAAGATAATTCAAGTAATTTTAAATAACACAAGATACATAACACATAGTTTAACGTACTACTGGTCGAATACAACGTCGTTGTCATTATGGACAACCATTGTTTATAATAATAATAATAATATAATGATATATTGCGTACATTCCACCCATACAGTATGCTCATGGCGCAGGGTTGTTTAGCTCTTCAGTTTTATAGTTTACTAACAGGATTCAAACAGATGAGATTTTTGCGTTTGTTTGAACAATATTTTATTTCTATTATATCATGATTATATACAATATTGATGTAATGGATCTGAAAACAAGCCATAGCTTATATAATTTGAAAGTTTCCAAACATTGTAAAGTTTTGAGAATCACAGGTAAAGAGTTCCATAGTTTTGGCACAATGTGAGATAATCGTCGAAATCCAAAGGAATTAAGTCTATCAATTGATCCTGTTAGAAGGGTGGTCATTTTGTGATTTCGGGGTGCGTTTGGGGTATATTCAGATAGCATTGAACCAAAGTATTTTGAGGCTGTTCCATTTGTTACTATGAGGAATGGATTCCTGATAAAAACGTTTTAGTAAATACGCTAGATGATAGAATAGGTTAAATGATAAAACATCACTTTGATATAATGGGTTAGATGATATAAAATTAACCTTTTAGTATCAATATCAATATCATTACTTTTGAATATACAACAAATCTTAAAAGGTTAAAACAAATGTTATTAATATTAGTGATGTAGAAGAGTGGACCTATAGGTTGTTGTTCATAGAAGCTATACATATCAAATAACCAATTACGTGTTGGGTGGCAACCAACATAACAGGTTTCAATGTCTATAAGTTAGTTTACATGATATAACTGGTGGAGATGTAAATAGTAGCATTAGTCATTATCTACCAATCATACAGGACAGAGTTTAAATCACACCTTATTTATAGTAGCATTACTCATAATCTACCAATCATACAGGACAACGTTTAAATCACGCTTTATTCTTTATTATTAAAATGAATGTTTGAAATTGTGTTAGAGGTGTCAGTAAACAAACGCGCATATATCTAGCGGCATACCCCGAGGCGAGCGTCAGAAAGTATCCAGACAGCAGACCTTAAACAGCTATCCACCTAGAGTTGGTCATTGCATCACATACAAGAAAAATTAAACACCGTCAGGTAGATATGATATTATTTTAGATATTTATTTTATATATTTATACAGTAGGAAATATTTCATAATAACTCTATTAATATTTTATATCTTTAGATAGTAGGAAATACTTCATATCTTTATATATTCGGAACTCTTTCGTAATAACTCTATTAATAATGTGCCTCTTATCGGCTGGTATTTTAACTACGGCCTTGTTTAACAAGCAACTTTTCTACTTCAATCTGGCTCATGAATACACCTTGAAGTGTGTTGTGACGGAAAGCGTAGGATTAGGAATATTCTGAAAAATAGATTCTATTTGATTTGATGCATTCTGAGTTATATTCCTGCCCAGTTACATCAGTTGAATAAAATAGAAATATTAAACATTTTGTGAATTAGAACATAAGTTTCAAACTTCAATTTTGGTATGAATCCTAGCCAGACCATATTATACAGTCTATATACGAGACGCCAATAGCCAAAAATTGATCATGATAGGAACGGCACGATTTGAGGGTAACCTTCATATTTTCTAAACCTAAATATAGAATCTCTCGGTCTATCCAAAAATACGAGGGGGGGGGGGCACAAAATATATAAAGAACAACATTAAACGATTCTAAGAAAAAAATCTGGGACATCCGTATTTTATATATTACATATTTTTGTATAATAGTAAACCTCATAGGGTATTCTACGCCAGTATTTGAAGTTTATTTTAACGTTTCAAGTTTGTCTTATTTGTATTTTAGTTTGTATTTGTATATTTAATATCTGTACCAAAGGATGCGTACTATCATTTATAGTCATATCATGTGTTACAATATTATATTTAGACATTTTCCTGACAGTTACAACTAAGATAGGGGATGTTCGATTGGGAGTGCGGAACGATCCACATTCCGAGCATTGCAATCGAGTGACGCAATCGAATGAATTGCAATCAAATTTCTGTCAGTCTGGGCTACCCAAATGGTGCGAGTAGAATTGTGACGTAATTAAACACAACGAATGTGTCTCAGCTATTATGGTTGGTTGGGATATTTTTCATATGTAGTCGGTGCATGCGTTGTAGCCCCAAATCCCCATTTTCACTCGATTGTAAGTAGGCCGGCCTACTTTTGGGATTGAGCATAAATCAGTTATCCCCTGTGAGTAGTGATGCTTTTAAAGGGTGCATGTCTCTATGTTTTGGAACCATAAATGGGTCTAAAAGCACATATTTATGTAATCTGAGTGTATATATGTTCAGCGAAAAACGTGAACAGTCCAAAATGAACGACAATTGTTTACGCCTAATGAGCCCATTCTTCAAGGTTTTTTTTTTATTATTATTTTATCATTTGTGAATCAGCCATTACTGCTGCATTGTAATTTAAATTATGTTTTTCTTTTTTCATTACTTTACACCCGAAACGATAGGGCACATTGTGTCTGAAATATTGGATATTAGCATACCACATTTTCACGGCAACATAACAAAATCAGTATGGCTTGAAGTAGACCGAATTCTAATTTGTGTTTTTAACTTCGAATATTATGGAAAATATTGAGTTAGAGACTTAGCTCCTTTAAAAGGGGCGGGGGGTGGGGTACGCTAGCCTAGAGGTCGCGTGTTCGATCCCGCATTAGTCAAGAAAGTTCATCAGGATTTTCAGGCGTGGTTTCCCCTTGTCAGTGGTGCAGGGCGGAGGGCCTAACAAGGACAGCTTGTAGTCGTTCGGATGGGACGAAAAACCGGGGTCCCTTGTACACATTGGCGTGCACGTAAAAAATCCCTTGGCAGTTGGAATTCGATATAAGAGCAGGCCATAGTGCCCCTGCCCGGGCCAAATTTCCCTCATAGCACAGTGTATGGCGTATGCCATCTTTATTAGCCCAGTCGGAACAGAACAGTAGGACTTTTAACCCCCTTTTTATTTCGTTTTTGGCGATTGCAGGGATTCCATAAATTAATTGAGCAGTTAGGTGTTTCACATAACCAAGCTATGTATAATACAGCCAGCTCTCCACATCAGTAATCCTGGAATACACAGGTCAATTTTATAGAAAGACAATCGGAAAGAAATGAAATCTAATTTAACTTATTCTTGTTTTCTCAGATAAAAGACCAGGTTAAGTGAGATACCTACATGTATCTAGATCGAGTATAGAAATTATACAAAATCCATTATTAAGATGTCGAGCTACCAAGGTATGTGGAATGATATATTAATACCTTCTTTACTCTCAGGTTCACAATGATGCCACATAATATTGTCTCTAATCGGTCCAAAAGGCGTATGTCATAAAACTTGTTCTTTACCTGCCCAAGGGGGGTTGGATGGCCGAATGGTTAGCACGCTGCGCTGTAGCATACGTTCTGTCATTGAGACAACTGGCGGGGTTTCGATTCCCCGGTTGTACGTGACAAGGAGTAGGGTCGCCTGTCCAACCTCGTGGGTTTTCCCCGGGTCCTCCGGTTTCCTCCCACAGCTAAAGACCCCTACGCGCAAGCGAATTATTGAAATAAAATTGAACCATGTGTTAGTCCCGAAATGACCTGGTTTGTGTCGAGTGGACGTTAAACCCCATTTCTCTCTCTCTCTCTTTTTACCTGCCCAAATTTCAAGAGGGTCTCCTGAATATCTATTTGGATATAAACCAAATGTTATTTCTTTTTCATTATAATTCTTTCCTATACTTACTCATAGTTTTTGTTTTGTGAAAAATGACTCACGCCCTAACATTATATTTAATTCATCCGTAGCTACTTTCATATTGTTCATACACTTATGGAGTATTAAAGGGCCAATCCCGATAATATTTTGGAGAATAAAACTGCTTATTTTTGTGTTAAAATCCCTTAAAATCCTCTACCGTAGGGCATAGCAACTAACTCAATATATTATGTGACAGTCGTGGAAAACATGATTAAGGAATACGAACATGATAATTGATCGGAAAAAACAATCTCCTTCACCATCTCGGTCGTAGTAACCATACAACATCAAAGGTCGGCGATATTGTCTTTGTTTCAATCTCAAACTCAAGCCATTAAGGGCCTTCTACGACATTGTGTACTCTGCTTAAAAGAAGTCATTATAATCTCACTTAACTTTAAAGGGACTAACCCGATTTGAACAGAATCTCCAAAATAAAAGTCCGAGTACGTATGAAATTTCAGGGACAAAATATAGAGGAATGGTGTATTTACCTTGTCTCAAAGTTTCAGCTCCAAATATTGAGTCGTTTGGACGACGTAACCATCTTAAGATTTCGGGTCAGTTTTTTCGTTGAGTGACCTGATAATCGATTCCCGTTCCTTGAGAGATCTATACAGTGTATTTCAAATACACATTATTTTTATTGAAAAAAGGGGGTTTTATACAGACACCGCATAATGCAGCTTGGGACGCCGGTCTCCATTTCCAGATGAAGTCTGACGGGTTTAAGTCGTTTAAAAACGTATCACAAATATTGAGTTAGTTTCCCGGTCGTTAGGTAGAGGATTTTAGGGGATTTTAACACAAAATTAAGCAGTTTTATTCTCCCAAAAATTATCGGGATTAGCCCTTTAAGGTACCTCCCATATGTCTCTTACATTTAAGTGGATTCTGCTCACTTAAACTGTGTGCTTTGAGGTAACAAGGGCACGTATATTCGTAACTTAGCCTCGATTTCCTATTTTTAAATCAAATTTTCAAATGGCGAACCGTTCTAATCTAGTTTAAATCTCAAGTATCCGATGCCACTGAGAGTTGATCTTTGTCTTGTTTTGTTATTAAATGTCTAATTAATAATTGAGATGACATTTGAAGCCTAAATGTCATTGAGTCAACTGGCGTGGTTTCGAATCCCGGTTGTACGTGGCAAGGAGTAGGGTCGCCTGTCCAACCTCGTGGGTTTTCTCCGGGTCCTCCGGTTTCCTCCCACTGCTAAAGACCCCTACGCGCAAGCGAATTATTGAAATAAAATTAAACCGTATGTTAGTCCCGAAATGACCTAGTTTGTGTCGAGTGGACGTTAAACCCCATCTCTCTCTCTCTCTCTCTCTCTCTCTCTCTCTTTGAAGCCTAAAGAAAGAGCTGCAATAGGCAGATTTAGCGCTTACATAATGTATGTTTAATTATAATGCTAAATACTTACCCTTAACAGGACGTTACGTATATATTCAGTGCAATCTAGTAGTTAAGTGACTATCTTAGACTTAAGATATACTTTGAATACGGACCTAGATGTTGATTTAGAATAACATCTACAATCGACATTTTATTTTAATACAGCATTAAGACATGAAAGGTTATTGACATTTTATTTTAATGAGAATATCAAGAATACAATAAAACTGTGTAATAAATTATTTCAGGAAGACTTAAAGGTCGGATGCCAGAAGACGATTATGTGAAGGTGCGAGCTAATTACACTGATCTGTGTGAACATATCAAAGAACCAGTAAAACTTAGCACTAAATTATTTGAAAAAAACGTATTCGACATAGATCAAAAGGAAGAAATACAGAAACTTTTTAGGAACGCAGAAAATGGTCGCTGGACAGCTGCTGACAAGTTACTGATGTATGTCTTATCAAACTGTGGTGATGCCTATGGTAAATTCATCCAATGTTTACGAGAACTAGGTTACAGAGAAATCGTAAATGTATTAGAAAACACCACGAATGGTAAGTTTATTTCTATTTTAAACAAGAACAACACACTATATGTAAATAAACATTGACAACTTATAAAAATATAAAAATACAAACGTACCGGTTTCTGTTCTTATTTGTTTAAATGAATCTGATTTTTGCCAGAAATTAGTTTTATTAGTTCTATGATTAAAGATCGTTAATTGCTACCCTTTTAGACATTTAACATCATAGAAAATATAAATGATGGATCCCTAATATTTTTTTCTTATCTTTATTAAATTAGGCCTACAACAGATGCCTTTTATTAACATGACAATATACTGTATGTGATTATAACAAAATAAGAAAGATTGACACTATGAACGATACAATATCTTACTATAACTGGATTATCTCCCTTATTTTTGTTGGCGCTTTTTACATTCTAACTTGTGACGTCAATTGGCAGACGACCACCTTTGTGTAACGTCATTTAGCAGACGACCGCCGTCAAGACTGGTTGCATACGTTTAATGGCTTTCATGTATTTTAATTCAGTTCTGTTTCTCGCTCAATGTGCTGACATTGAGATTTCTTGTAGACCGATCATGACTCTCACCAGTATGATACGACCTTCCGGAAATATTCCCCGTTTTTTTTTTAATTGTTTCCATTATTCTTAGTTTGATTTTATTTTGAGTGAAGTCTATATCACGATAGGCCAGGGATTAGGGATTGAAGGTAGTGGACGCTTATAGCTTATAGCTTATAGTTTTTTTATTTGAAATGTCTACGTATATTGGAGCCACGGTGGCTCAGTGAGTAAGACATTGGCTCGTTAAACTGGATGTCCCATGTTGTATCCCTGCCTTGGCCGAGTAAGTTCGTCGGTATTTTCCGGCGTGGTATACGCGTGTTAGTGATGTAGGATGGTGGGCAAGGGAAAATGTATAGTCGTTCGGATGGGACGAAAAAACCGAGGCCCCGTGTACACATTCGCCTAAACGAGAAAGATCCCCCGGCAGTTGGATATGTAAGAGAGGGTCGTAATGCCGCTGCCTGGGCAAAATTTCCCTCGTAGCACACTATATGGCGTATGCCCGTCTTCATTAGCCCAGTCGGAACAAAAAAGTCGGACGTTAAACCCCATTTCTGATCATTTGTCTATGTATATTGTGTTATGTCCGTGGGTTTGTCTTGTGTAACTGTGTATTATATTATATTATACAGGTAATAGTATTGAATTGTAAGTAATTTTATCATACAGGTAAAAATAAAACCAACCTGATGACAGAACAAGACAAGACAAGACATCACCTAGAAGACTTACATAAAGATCACGACCTTACTAAACAGGAATTAGAGAACCTGAAGAAACAGATGGAAACATTGAAAACAAGGCAAGATGAAGATTCTAAACAGATGTTGAAGAAAATCGAAAAGAGAGAACATGAACTAGAAACATACAAAAAACAAACTGAAGAGAAAGAAGCTCTGACAAAGAAGAGAATTGATGAGTTGGAGAAATGTATTAAAACTCTTAATCTAAATGAGAAAGGTAGGTTAATATTATTACGTCATACACACATCGTCACATGTTATTACGTCATACACTCATCGTCACAAGTTATTACGTCATATACCTATCGTCATTGAAGTCAGAAGACGTATAATAAACTTTATAGTTATTCTAGTTAGATGAAAAATATTAAATATGACTTCTATATTACAGATACCATTCAGCCACATTTATTACCTGGTACTTTGTCTGGTAATACAAGTGATACCCCACATGATACTTTGTCTGGTAATACAAGTGGTACCTCAGATGATAATTTGTCTGGTAATACAAGGGATACCTCAGATGGTACTTTGTCTGGTAATACAAGTGATACTTCAGCTAAGAAAAGTAAGTTATTCTAATATATAATACTAGCAGGATACCCGGCTACGCTCGGGGGTCATAACTCCGAAACCGGAAGTGGTAGACTAACGCCGCCTGGCCCATGTTACTCCCCAGTCCGAGCTACCCCTATACCCCAAATTCAGACTCGGGCCAGACCTAGTGTAGCCGCCAACCCCGAACAGACAGACAGACAGACAAACGACAGTCACAAATATTAGTATAGATAATATCCAACAAGGACTGACTTACCTGAAAAAATATTAAATATGACTTGATAAACTGTAAATATAGTATAACATGTTATATATTACAGATACACGTCAACAACAACAACAACAATTATTTAAAGCCTGTCGACATGGTACTTTGGATGATATAAAAAACATGGTGAACATAGATGTTAACGTCAGAGACAAGTGGGACCAGACACCGTTATTTGACTGTTGTGGATCAAGTGTAAGTCCTGTAGATAAAATAAAATATCTAGTCAGTCATCAGGCTGATATTAACGCTAGAGACAGTGATAATAGTACCATCTTACACTGGGCATGTATGAATGGTACTTTATCTACAGTACAATATCTTGTTGATGATTTACACATGAATGTTAATACAACAGGTCGTTACAACCGTACACCGTTATTTTACTGTTGTATGTCAAGTGTAAGTCCTGTAGATAAAATAAAATATCTAGTCAGTCATCAGGCTGATATTAACGCTAGAGACAGTAATAATACTACCATCTTACACCTGGCATGTCTATTTAGTACTTTATCTACAGTACAATATCTAGTTGAGTGTTTACATCTAGATCTACATGTCAAGAATAAAGGTGGTCAAACAGTTCTAGATTATTGTAGGACATTAGACACTGAACAAGATGAAAAGATAAAATATATCACAGATCAAATGAAATTAAAATAAACAAGTTATAATAATTCGTGTAAACTAGTCAACATAATGTTATTGTCTCTAGTCATACAATTTACAGTTTTATTGTCTCTTGTCAACAGTTAAAACTACTGATGACGTATTATACTGTCTCTAGTCAACTACTGATGACGTATTACACTGTCTGTAGTCAACAGTTAAAACTACTGATGACGTATTACACTGTCTCTAGTCAACTACTGATGACGTATTACACTGTCTGTAGTCAACAGTTAAAACTACTGATGACGTATTATACTGTCTCTGGTCAACAGTTAAAACTACTGATGACGTATTACACTGTCTGTAGTCAACAGTTAAAACTACCGATGACGTATTACACTGTCTCTGGTCAACATTTAAAACTACTGATGACGTATTATACTGTCTCTAGTCAACTACTGATGACGTATTATACTGTCTGTAGTCAACAGTTAAAACTACTGATGACGTATTACACTGTCTCTAGTCAACAGTTAAAACTACTGATGACGTATTTGTATTTTATCTACAGGACTAATACTGTGTATATATTTATTGTTTATTTTATTGTTTAATTTATTTAAAATGTCTTCAATATTTTTTTTGTATATATTTATTTTCAATTAAAAATACTGTTTACAAAAACTCGTGTTTATTTTTATACGTTCAATCGTGTCTTTGCGCTTGTGTCTATGTTTGGCCCACAGACTTCAATTCTTTGGTGCATGCCCAAGCCCCAGGGACAGAGCCATGCCCAATGTCCTTTATTTAGGTGCATGTCCAACCCCCAGGGGTGGTGAAATGAAATGACAGGTGGACAGGTGGGCCCAGTCCGGCACTGGTCATAGCACATTGTATGGGGACATTCACCATACAATGTGCTATGACCAGTGCCGGTCTGGGCCCACCTGTCCACCTAAGCTCATTTAAAAAATGTGGGCCTAAGTCTATAAAGAAAAAAGAGAAAGAAAAAAGAGAAAGACAGGAGAGGGGGAGGAAAGAAAAGAAATCTGTTATCTAAGTGTATCAGGAAATCAAAAATTTGCCATTTTCTGCTTTGGTGTGAAATGCTTGGAAAATGGGTTTGTGGTTGTCAATTTTCAAAATCTTTCTGGGGGAGAGGAGACCCCCCCCCCCCCCAAAAAAAAAAACAAACCCTCGGACGTTCGTGCGACTTCGGCACTTACTTAGGTGGGCCTTGGTTAATGGCCTGACAGGTGGGCCTTTGGTCCGGCACTGGCTATGACTGATATTTTACCAGAACAGCGGCGCTACGACCTACTCTTATTGCGAATTCCAACTGCCAAGGGATCTTTTACGTGCACGCCAATGTGTATAAGGGACCTAGGTTTTTCGTCAAATCCGAAGGACTAGGCAAATTTTCTCGGGCAACACCGGGAGCCAACCCGTGACCTCTCGGCTAGCGAGCCAGCGTCTTACTCACTAAGCTACCGTGCACGCCCCCCCCCCCCCGAAAAAAAGGGGCGGTGCCACACCCACTTTTTTGTAAATATTTTATCTGTAAATCCTCTACTGGTCTCACTTGTTAACCCTTCGGCGTGATCAGTCATTTCAATAACAGCGTTGTACCTATTTATATTTATCCGTGTCCCATCCCCCCCCCACCCCCAAGGAAAGGCAGAGCCATCCCAATTTTGGTGTTTACCGTCTACAGGCCGCAATTCTGAATTTGTCATCTGATTGCCCCGATCCCCAGAAGCGGGGTCACTCCTTTTTTATTTCTGCTAATATTTTCTCTGTAAATTTGGTAAAACAAACCTTCTTTGTCTCTTGTTATATTGAGAACTAGATGAAGCCCATTTATACCCAGCCTTCTCAGCAAATCCTGAGATGTCCTACCATTTTTTTAATCTCTTTCACCCACCAAAATTGATTGCCAAGGCAGCGGCTTTATATGTGTTTTTGACATTTGATAAGAGATGTAAATAAAATTTGGTGGTAACTACATGTAGGTGTTGATATACATGTACTACTGTTTGTATGAATATATTTTCACCGTACAGTTATCAAGATTTGTGAGACTTAATTGATCAATCCTGAATAAATTGTTGTTCCTTCCTCATTTCCAAACAATATTTAGCGCGTGTGCGTTTTATCATAAGGTCTGTCTTTGAGTCAACTGGCTTGGTTTCGATTCCCCAGTTGTATGTGACAAGGAGTAGGGTCGCTTGTCCAACCTCGTGGGTTTTCTCCGGGTCCTCCGGTTTCCTCCCACTGCTAAATACCCCTACGTGCAAGCGAATTATAGAGATAAAATAAAGCGTGTGTCAGTCCCGAAATGACCTAGTTTGTGTCGAGTGGGCGTTAGACCCCATCTCTCTCTCTCTCTCTCCAATATATTTGGAATTTTGAATCTTTGTGAAATTCAAGCATAATACATGTCTCTAAAAGATTGGGGAAATGTGGTGGCTCAGTGAGTAAGGCACTGGCTCGCTAATCAGGGAGTACATGATTCGATCCCGGTGTTAACCAAGAAAGTTTTCGGGTATTTTCCAGCGTCGCAAGATGGAGGGTGTGGTAAGGACAGGGTCTAGTCTTTTTGATCGGGTGAGAAGAACAACCGAGTCCCTGTATACGTAGGCGTGAACGTAAAAGAACCCTTGACAGTTGGAATTCGGAAGAAGAGCCGATCGCCAAATTTGGTCGAGAAAGTTCTCAGAGATTTTCCAGTGTTGTTTCCCTTTATTAGTGATGTAGGACGGGGGGTATGGTAAGGGTAGCGTCTAATCTACCGGATAGTATGAACAACCGAGGTACAGTGTACACGTTGACGTGCACGTAAAAGACTCCTTGACAATTAGAATTATAAAGAGTAGTATGCCATAGGCAGCTGTCCTGGCAAATTTTCCAGCTTTGTTTCTCCCTTGTTAGTGTCTCAGCGCCACATTTAGGGCAACCATCCCTCATATCGCACTCTATCACCTATGTCCGTCTTTAATAGCATCTTGGGGGCAGCAAAGTAAGACGTTAAACCCCATTTAATTTATTTTATTTCTCTAAAATATTTGTCATCTAACCTTACGAATTCTTTGTATCTGTGATAGTTTACAGGTAAAATACCTTACGTATAATGTGGACAAGACTTTAAACCCCAATCATCATATCCAGTAACCTTATTGTATATTACATATTACATAAAAACAACTGAGTTAGTCTCAATACGTTACTTAATACTTTATACAGGATGTCAAACGTAGTTTTCTTTAATAGTGTCTCATTATACCTCACCCCTGCACACATCTCCACCTCCCGGCACATATCTTACCCCTTCCACTCCACACCCACACACAACTCCCGGCAACTATCGTACCCCACCCTCTCCACACCCACACACACCTCCCGGCAACTATCGTACCCACCCCGTCTACACCCACCCCTGGCAACTATCGTACCCACCCCGTCCACACCCACACCCGGCAACTATCGTAGCCCACCCATTCTAGGTATTGCTGTTTAACCCCCAACTATTGAACAACTAATCCACCACCCAAACTAGGTCATTTTGGGACTAACATGGTTTATTTTATTTCATTAATTCGATTGCGTGTAGGGGTCTATGAAAGAAATATCAAGAAGTTTGTCAGCTTGTGATTAGCCTATGACGTTGCCTCATCACTGACCAGGATGTTCAGGGTTCGATTTTGGTGATGATCTAAACGTTTCTTATTACTTTTCCAATCAGTGGTCCATGACAGACAGTCTGAACAGAAAAACGGTGTCTATTTGTTCAGAGAGAGGGGGAGAAATGGGGTGTCCACTCGACACAAACTAGGTCATTTCGGGACTAACATGGTTTAATTTTATTTCAATCATTCGCTTGCGCGTAGGGGTCTTTAGCAGTGGGAGGAAACCGGCTATTTGTTCAGAAAGTGTATATTAATGGCAGAACGTTCAAGATCCCCCAGACAGTTGTAGATAGACCAGTCGCCCTCCCCTACAACTTATGATCGGAATTTCACATATATAGCAGTGAGTCACGTGCAAGCTGGGAATCGAAACCACTCCACTTAACCCAATGACAGAATTTACGCCCCCTCCCCTCCCAACAAACAAACAAACAATTCGATTGTAATAATAAATATTGTTTGTTTGTTTGTTTGTCAATTTATAAAATTGGAATATATTTGATTTAATAATAAACTAATTGTCTCTTGTCTGTATTTATTTCTAGTATTTTATAATTTATTCATTAAATGTCAGGTACAAGAGGTGAGGTGGGGAGTTGTTGGGTTATAATGGGAGGTAACTCTTACCAAAGAAAAATAGATCGACTTCAACACACTAATGATCACTGGCTAGTATTGACATCAATATTAAATCCATGCCATATTTATTTAATATTCCGATGATTTTAATCTTTATAACAACAAGAGACCAACATGTGTCAATCCTCTGATAAAGATATTGAAAGGTATGAATCTGGAAGGTTGTTTATATAATGTTAAACAATGGATGTCATTGTAACATGCTAAATGTCAACGATGAAGTCGTGGGTTCTACTCACAGGCTCTGTAAAATATCGCAGAAGATGTTTGTGCAACATTAGCTTGGGCCTTTATCCTGTCAGGAATCGACCATGTAATTCTTTACTAACTGGTATTACGGACGAAGAAGTTGCAAAGCTTCAAAGATTGCCAAAACAATGCTGCTTACATTGTCACTAAAACTAAATCCAGATCAGACATCACACTAGTCTTAAACAAATAACATTGGCTCCAAGTTCCAGAAAGGACCAACTTTAAAATATGATCTTTAACTTATCGATCTATTAACAAATCTGCTCCAGGTTATCTTCAAATTCTAGTATTATTGTATCATTAGAAGGTAAATTGTTATTGGATGTATCTACCTGTAGGTACCTAAACGCCGCTTACCTATCAGAAGGTAAATTGTTATTGAATGTATCTAACTATCTACCTACCTGTAGGTTTAACTATCAGAAGGTAAATTGCTATTGGGTGTATCTACCTGTAGATACCTAAACTCCCATTACCGGTCTTTGATTCTCCAAAATGAAATAGGGATAACGCAACTTGATGATCGGGATTCGTTTTATTTCCCGCGTATTTTTTTTATTCTGCTGTAAAATTCACAACGAAACGAAGGAATGTTCTGATAATACGAGAAGGTGTTTATTTTAAATGCCATTTAAAGACCCGTCTTCTATTCACTTAATTCATTCAATATTAGCTTAGTTTGTGTATGAAAATAATAATCGTCATAGATTTATTATCTCTTGTTTAATTCAGATATATTGTATTCAATCATCTCTAGTTTGTGATTCTTCATTTATTAAATTCCTTAAATACTACTACTTGTTGTAATTTAACAACAACTTTCAACTTTACCTGTTCTTTTCTTTCAATCGCTGATGTAATAGTTCAGGCCTATAAATACATTTATTTTGTTCTATTCTATCTAGGCCTATAAATCCATTTATTTTTGGATAATATTATATTCAAGATATAGACCAACTAGACTTACTAAGAGTAAATCCCCCCGGGGTTTGCTGAACACTTTGAAGGCGAGTAAGTAAGTATATTAGGTCTATATATTAAATATAATATTATCCAAACATTAATGGATTTATAGACCTTAATTATATAGAACAAAATACAAAATAA